TTTCCTCTTTACTGAAGCAAGTGACAGTGATAGGAAAAAAACACATGTTCCTTCTTCCCTTGTGGGCACCTGGGATTCTCCTGTTGGTTCTGCCTCTGCCACTCCTCATACCCTCACTGCTGGGATGCTCCTGGAATATCCTTCAGGGCTTTGCTTCAATATCCAGACCTTTCTTGACACTTTATAACACAAATCAATATTTTCTCTTTCACCTCCTATTCCCTCTAGGTCTAACTCTGCTATTTTGTCTGATTAAGCACTGTCTTTCAAGGCATTAAAGAGTGAAGTTTCTGGCAAGGTTATTTTCTTCCTAAAGGATGAGGGCTCTTCCTTTGAATCAGATCACCTGATTAAACCTCAGTGGGCTGGAAATATCACAGCCATATTGCTCTCACCTCCCGTACACAGTGTTCCTCTCGCCAGTAAAACAATTTCTCACCCCAGAAGATGGGCCCGAATGAAGGTGAGTATGTTTTATGCTGCTTCCAGGGACTCTAACATCAGAAAAAAAATTCCTTTCTTTCAGACCCTAGATCACTGAATTCCAACACTTGGATAAGACTTCTGGGAAAAAAGCAGCAAGGAATAACCAAAGTCATTAATTATTACTTTTCTCCCTAGAATGTTCCATAACCTGTAGATTTTAAGAAGCAGTGAGTGAGTTAGGGGAAGACACTTCTGCTGCCAAGTGAAAAAAAAAAAACTCAATAAAACAGCAACCTTTGCAGGCAATCATATGAAAGGTCACTTTTAATCATCTTGTATTTGTTGATTGATTTTACTCACAAAAGCACATTTAAAACATCTGTTAGGCACCAGATTTATAAAAAACATATAGCAGAAGAGAAATCACAAACCTGCTCGATGCTTCCCCTTGTTCTTTCCTTCAGGTGCGTGCAGATGGAAGAGAAATGATGATAAACTGATGAATACATTTACAGCACTTGAGAATGGCCAAATCGATATTGGGAAATCGGGTACCTTCAACACCCATTTCAAGCAAGAGCCACAAAAGCAACATTCTTTATAAAAAAGGCACTTGGTTTTCTAACATATTCTTTGTGGCACAGACCTGAAATAGCACATTTACTTCTAAAACCAATATGGTCTACATATAATGAAAAACCATAGATTCTTCATTAGACGAAGTTATCCATGGCTAAGAAAAAGTGTTTCTGATTTAACTGGCATTAGTAAAAACACTTAGAATGATGCTAGTTACACTTTAGCTATTGTTCCTGTGCTTTAGGTGGACATCTGGGTTTTTAAATCTGTATTTATGTGTGACTGTGGCCTTGTACCTCAGTCAATTGTTGAGGCAGATTTTTTTTTTTCATATTGTATAAAGTGTGAATTGCCTTGGAGTAAATTTGGCACATAGAAAATCTACCAGAACTTTTCCAGCCTACTGTTGAGTGGTATTTTTAATGACTCAGGTCTAGGCAACATGGTATAGTGGGCACATCTGAATCCCTACTCTTTGCAAATGTGCTGTGTATCTTTGGGCGCCATTTTCTGTGGGTCTTGGCTTTCTCGTGAATAAATTAAAAGCATTGGACTAGATAATTTCTAGCTTCTTAAGGCACTACGTGGTATCCTTGGGGCTTGAAAGTTCCCCATAGCTTCATAAAATATCTGACTCATTCCCTAAAATAACACATTTACCTATGTTTCACCCTTTGCATAGCCTGCACTCCCTTTGATAAGAAAATCAAGAAAAATACTTTCCTTCTACAGTTATTAAAACCAAACTTTGAAAAAGCAACTGCTAAGACCTCCGAAGAGTATGTAAGAGACAAACCAGACCAGAAAAGAGAGAGAATAAGAAATGGCTGGGCTCTATCCCTAGCAGCTTTGAATGGGTATGGTATGTTTCCCTCCCTCCCCTCTCCTTCCTCCCTCGTCCCTCAAACAGCTGCTTCTCAGACCTCTTGCCCATCCCACTCCCCAGGATGAAGTTGTGGAGTCAAAGTATCCCACTGTATCTTTAATACTGTGGGCAGCGAGAGCACAGGGTTGGTGCCTTTTTATGATGATAATAATGATGATGATGACTATGATGATAATATGATCCCTTCCCTGGCAACCTGTTGGAAATTGCATCCTCTGATGCCCCCTATATTCCTTCCTTATTTAACTTTTCTCCTTAGAACTTACCACTTCACTTACTATTATTATTTTTGATTGTCTAATGTACTCTATGAGGGCTGGGATTTCACCTTGTTGTTTTCTCCCACTGCTGCATTCCTACAGCCTGGCACAGTGCCTGGCACATAATAGGTTCTCAATGAGTACTTGTTGAACAAATGCATGCATGAATGAATTATCTTTCTCTCCAGAAGTTATTAAATCCCCAATGTAAAGGGAAAGGCAACTATGTAAATAAAAAGAAGTTCCAATCTGTTTCTTATAGCATTACTCTGCACTCAGTAAGCCAGCTAGTTATAAATGTAAAAATATCCCTCTACACCATTGTAAATTATTCTCCTCACACACTTACAGACTTGATTAAAGCAGGTTTGCTCTCTAAGGCAAAGGTTCTGAACTTGGCTTCAGGGAGTATATGAATACATTAAAATTCTATTCAAAATTTTGATTTTTTTGTGCACTGAATATTTTTCTTGGGAAAGAGTCCATAATTTCCATCACATTTTTAATGGTTTAACACAGAACAGCAACAACAACAAAAAGTAAGAACTACTGCAATTTAAAACAATGAAGTATGCTGGAGGGAGAGATGTTAGGACATCCAGGTTCTCATGATCTTTGGCAGTGATTGCTGTGTCATTCGGGGCGAACAATTGTTATTTAGTAAATGGAGCTGAAACTCACAGGTTAATGAGAGGTGCAGGGAAAGGAGAGTGAGGGGGATGGTTGATAGTCATAGTGGGACATGTATATAGGTGTTTGCATAAATCCTTCCACTCCGCTATCCCCACTTAAGGCTGAGAAAATATCAGAGGAAAAGAAAGAAATTAAGCAAGTAAAGTAATAGTTTATGCACCGGGAGAATGTGACTCCTATTTAAGTAGTTTTCCAGGCTTCTGAATGACATTTAATCCAAAAACTGCATTAAGTGGGAAGCCAAATAATCATGTATGATAATAGACCATTCTCTTCTGTCACTTGAGAATCCTCTCTTGGTTTTCCTATGAACCTTCCCCTTTTCCATTTATCTAGCAACCTTCATAAGACAAGGAGAACAAATTCTATATAATTACCATTTTTGATTCATACACCCAAGGAACAGACGACGCAAGAGCTATCTTCATTTTTTTTTTAATATCACGATTTAGAAAGGGTTTAATACTCAATAAAGGCAATTCAACTAAATTTTAAGATCTAAATGAAAAGAGGATTCTCATCCACACATTCATTCAAGCAGCATGTGTTTTTATCCTTGCTAAGGTTCCATCCAGCTCTAAAATCCTGGGGGTGGGAGGTGGAGGGCTGAGGGATCTATGCATATCTCCGTCCCATGTGTTGACAAGAAGGATTTAGACACCCACCTCTAGGAGACATGTCCCATTAGAGTTTAGAAATTATCTTGCCCAGCCCTTGTCCCTCATTTTGTGGATGGGAAAACTGAGGCCTAGGGCAAGGCAGGGAAGTGATGCGATAAATAATAAATATAATATTTATTTACAATAATATAAATAAATAAATGCAAAAATTTGAATGTTAACTTCAAAATTTAATCTGATTTTTCCTATTGTCTCATTGTAAACTGTAATCCTATTAAGATCCTGATTCTTCTCTTCTTTTGCTGCTGATAATAGTTTGATCTGCAAACTAGATCTGCTGCTTCCCAACTCAGTGTGTGCGCTGCGGCACCACAAACCTCTTTTAAGACTCCAATTCCAGGGAATAAGTCATGAAGTTTTCTCCAGCAAATTTCCCTTCCAGATCAGTAAAAAAGAGGAGGTTTTCCTGACTGGGTCACCGTAGTTATGTGTCCCAAAACCCATGAAGCACTAGGATTCAAGTTTTGTTAGGCTATGAAGGAAAACAGCAAGTATGTGAAAATACTAATTCAGAGAAACAACTTGATAACTTTGGAACAAGCTGAGGAACTGACTATTCCAATCAAACTAGATGACTCATAGAAAGTCTTTCCCTTGACTTACATTGGTTGTTTCAACTGAGGGCTTCTTTAATTAAATGGTGGTTATGATGTAACATGTATGTGCTCTGCTACTTGAACTGGAGTGCAAGATTCCATGACTAAGGAATTTGTTTTTTTTTTTAAATTAAAGATTATTGTGATAATCATCAGGACTGTTCATAATTTTTCTGGTTCTCTCTCCTTCCAGGCACATGGTAGAACTGCACTTCCTCACCCCCTTTGAGTTTAGGCAATGCCATCTGATTTGCTTTGGTCAATGAAATGTGAACGAAAGTAATTTCATTATTTTAAATTTTTGAATGTTAATTTCCGATTTTAATCTGATTAATCCTATCCTCTCATTGTAAACTGTAATCCTATTAAGACTCTGATTCTTCTCTTCTTTTGCCACTTGTACTAATTTGATCTGTAAGTGAAAGCTCAAGGACCACCCTGTAAGGTGATCCAGGTGAGAAATGTCTTTGAGAGACTTAAATGGAAAGATATACTGCTCTCAAAGCACTCACCTCTTGGGTTTGGGTGATGGGTAGATGATCAATAATTACTGTTTTTCAAGATGATGTGCTTACCTTTAGAATTCTATTGGGCTTTAAGAGATGAGATGTTAGAAAATAAGCATGAAGTTGCAAAAATAAATCTCCATAAAAGTTTAGATTGCTTTAGTCTTTAAGGCTAGTCTGTGGATGGTGAGGAATGATACTGAATCCATTTAGTTTTGTGCCCGAGTTGCTACTAAACAGGTTTGAATCTCTCAAAGAGCAACCGAGAATAAGACAAGCCAAAATGAACTTTTTTTTTTTTTTTTTTGCATGTGGTTTGTTTTACAAACTTGAAGAAACTCAGCTACAGCACCAGCTGTCATACTGATACCTACTTGGTAGGGCTGCAGGTGTGCAAGGCTTTCAAGTGCGGCTTCCAGGTCGCAATGGAAACAGATTTCTCATCAGCTGCGTAACTACGCCAAACGCACTGCACATGGCATACGTGGGAACATAAAAAAGAAAAACAAAAGACAGTAGACGATAGAATGAAAATGAAAAAGAAGATTATTAAATTAAGACAGATTAAGAATCTTTTTCTTATCCTACTTAGCCCTGACACATGCCTAAAGGATGAAGAAGACTATCACTGGCCTTTGAGCTGGCTATTAAAACATATTTCATCACATTAGTAGAACTGCTTTTCAAAACAACTCACACCAATACCCAAAAGTACAAAAAGTACAATAAAAATTAATTCATGAATTGGTTAGGGAAAGATATATTATCTGAAACAAAGGAAGTAGTGATTGGCTGGTTCAGTAAGTATTGCTGTCCCAGATACTAGTTAGAGAAACTACCCTAGCACAAACATGCATTCCAGGAATCAACTACACATACTTAATTAATGTTTGATAAGTTAGACGCTAAAAGTTACCGAAAATCCACAATCCAACTAATAAACTAACTAGTCAACTAATGATTGCTAGTGTCTGTCAATGTTTAACTAGTCAAATTCCATAAAGTTGAACTATGCAATACCACTAATATTAAAAATGAAGATAAATAATGATAACGAGAGGCAGAACTAAAACAAGGTAGGGGAAATGTATTCTCTAGGGACTATAATTGGAAACCACTTAAGGATTTAAGGTGAGGGTCTAAGAATATGTTTATAGTTCTCTGAAGTAAAACACAGGCTTTTTCTACTTCATGTCATTAAAAATGACATGCAAAATACAAAGTATTTTCATTTGACCCTGACAATCGAGGAAGAGATTAAGACTATGTTTTATTTTTTTAGGATTCAACTAGCCTTTATCGAACACCTAATTGCTATTTTCAAAGATTTTATTGTGTTAAAACATACATAACATAAAATTTGCCATTCTAGCCATTTTTAAGTGAGCAATTCAGTGACATTAATTACATTTACAGTGTTGTGAAACCACGACCACTATCTACTTCCAAAGTTTTTCATCCCCCTAAACAGAAGCTCTACGTATTGAGCAATAGCTCCTCATTGCCCCCTCCCCCAGGTTCTAATTTACTTTCCGTCTCTATGAATTTGCCTATGCTAGATATTTTATGTTAAGTAGAAACATACAGCCCTTGTCCTTTTGTGCCTGGTTTATTTCACTTAGCATAATATTTTCAAGGTCCATCCATTTTATTCTTTTTTATAGCTGAATAATATCCCATTGTGTATATATACCACATTTCATTTATCCATTCATCTGTTGATGAACATTTGGACAATTTCCATGTTTTGGCTATTGTGACTAATGCTGCTGTGAACATTGGTGTACAAATATCTGTTTGAGTCCCTGTTTTCAGTTCCTTTGGGTATATAATCTAGGAGTAAAATTGCTGGGTCATATGGTAATTCTATGTTTAATATTTTGAGGAATCAGCAAACTGTTTTCCATAGTGGCTGCACCATTTTACATTCCCACCAGCAATGAATGTGGAAGACTCCTATTTTGTAGATGAAATAATAAAGGCTCAGATAAATTAAGACGTTTTCACAAGGTTCATAGAGTTGAGACAATATTTCAGATTGTTTGGCTGTTGGTCCTAAAATCTCTCTTCTGTTTCTTGCTGACTGCTTGATGACTATTGTAGGAAAAGCTTCCAATTTAACCGTTCATCTGAGAGATTGCCTGAACTTACTTTGCCATATAGATTTTGGTAGATTTCTTCCTTTGTAATGAGTCTGTAAACATCTCTAATGACCAAGTGTTTACTCCAATTTCCTGAGAGAAAATTTCTTTTATAATTCATGCATCAAAACATTCTACTTTATAGGACAAATTAATTTAAATCAGTCATATCTCTTATCATATAGCCATCAGTCATGATTTTGAAAACCACAACGAAGCAAGTGGTGATCAATAACAATGTTCTGCTGCCATCATAAGATTTTTATTAGTCAAGGTTTTTAGAAGTAGATTGCCAGTTCCTTCTTCCTAGTCTGTCTTAGTCTGGAAGCTCTGCTGAAACCTGTCCACCACGGGTGACTCTGCTGTTATGTAAATACCAGTGGCATAGCTTCCAGCATCACAGTAACATGCAAGCCACCACAGTAGGACAAACAGACAGACGAATGGTAGAATAATATTCCTTTTCCTGAGGATAACACTGAATAAACGTTTTCTGAACAAAAGAGTTAAAAATTGGTACAACTACTTTGGAAAACTATTTGCTAGTATCTATTAAGCTTGAACATATACATTTCCTATGATACAGCTACACATTCCTAAGTATATACTCAACAGAAATCCTTACATATGTTCACCAACAGACATGCACAATCATGTTGAAAACAGCACTATTCCTGTTAAACCAAAAATGGAAATGCCCAAATATCTATCAACAGCAGAATAAATAGATAAATTGTGGTACATTCACATAATGGAACAGTACACAACAATATTACGCTACGACTACACTCAATAATATGGATGAACTTCACACAATGAGTAAGAGAAATCAGACACAAAGAGTACAAACGGTGTGATTCCATTTCCATTAAGTACAAAAACCAGGGAAAACTAATCTATGCTGTTAGAAGGACTCATAGTGGTTATCCTTGGGGGACAGTGATTGAGAAAGGGCACACAGGAAGCATCTGAGGTGTTGGTCATGTTTTGTCTCTTTATCCGAGTGTTGATTACACAGGGATGCTCAGTTCTCTTTGGATATGTGTTCTTTCCTGTATGTACAATATACTTCAACAAAATGTGCAAAATGTGACACAAAACTAGGAAAATACATTAGCAGGGCCTGAGGTTTTTTTTTTTTTTTTAAATATTATTAAGGAAGTTTTAAATTATTGGTGCAGGGTTTCTTGCCTGGAACCTTACTCCCATGGTTCATACAAATCTGTGAAAACTTATGTTAATAATCTTGGCATCTCGTAGAGAATAAAGCAATTATTGTTTTGTCATCTTTAAATGTTAGTTTTTGCAAATTTTTACACACACACAATTTATACAGTGATCTAGACTAAACAACGAACGCACATGGATTTAGTGTTGCAGCTTCTTCCGTAGTGAGGCCCAGAGATCCTCTAGTTCTGTGTTGGCATGGATGGCTGCTTTTTAATTAAGCAATTTCTATAGAGACCGTCATATATTTGTAAACTCAGATAACTTTGAAAGCCAGACTCATATCAAACTAGAAGCATACAGCAGGTCTGTGCATTGCCAGATATCAGTGAAAAAAATCCCAAACAACCATACAACAACAAATGGGACCAAGACATTACCTGCCAATGTTATAAAGAATTGAGGGCAAAAGAGGCCACTCTGAGAAAATTGAAAATTTTCTTTACAATGAGACCTGTTTCTTGCTCCTTTTTTTTTTTTTAAATCAAATTGATCTCAACAGCTAAGTTCTTATTTCTTTCATAACTGTTCTCCTTAAAATGTCTTGTAGATGAGAGGTACACAGGGGGCAAGTGGCATCTATCTCATGGCTGATATTAGCTAAACAGTCAAAACGGAAGTGGAAAGTGTAACTCACTACTCTTATAACTTTGTCGGGTCCTTAGCTCTCTCTCTTTCTCAGCTAACTGTTTCAAGTAGCTGAACCTCAAGCCCACAACCATATGACCAAGTAGCTGATGTTCCTATATTTAAAGCCAAAATCACATAATGGTGGGCAGGAGAAAATTAACCCCGTGGAGGGATTTCTTATGGTTAATTTAATGGCATATATACTCCAAAAGAACTTGGCTGCTAACCTTGTGGGGCAGTTCTGCTTTATCCTATAGGGTCGCTATGAGTTGGCATCGACTTGACAGCACTGGGTTTTTTTTTTTTAAATACTCCAAAGGCACGTCAACAAGAAGCAAAATGAAAGCCAAATCTACCCTAGGTGTTTTAAGCAGGCAAACAAATTCAAACTTCGGTCTATAATTATATGTACAGTGTTTGCGTATTTGTTTTCAGGGAGCATTCAATTTGAATTATCTTGAGTATTACAGCTAATGCACATTTGACCCTTACTAGAAATTTTAGTTTCATCTGACCATCCAAAGATGTAATTAATATAGAACTTAATTTTTTCAAGTAATACATGTGCAGAGTTTAAAAAGTCAGAGTCCTAAAATACTTAGGATAAAAACTGGTAATCCCTTTCCTAATCTCTTTATCTCAGTTCCTGTTCCTTAGAGACAACACCCTCAATTCTTATAGGTTTTTTTTTTCTATTTTTAAGGATTCTTATTTTTTAAAATTATGATCATACCTGTATTTCCTGATCTTTCAATTTTAAGCATTATCAATTAACTTCCTACCACGAAAAATGACATCCCACTTACAAGCCCCCTTCTCCTCCTCTCATCTTTTCAATATTTTTATATCACAATTTTTAATTAAGTTAGTATTTAGTGTTTGCATTATTAAGACCGTGTAACTATTGTTCCCTGGTCAGCAATGTAATATACTATGACTACTTTTTCTTTCCTATGTGTTTTTTGTTTCTTGGAGTTGATAAAAATACTTGTATTTTTGCTGTGCTTTGTTTCATGTATCTATTTTGAACACATTCCTGAATTCTCCAACAGAATTATAAAACTCCTTTAATCAAATACATCATGAGTTTTGTCAGTTCCACTTTGTTTCCTTGAAGACCTTTCTCCTAGAGCTCTCCAGCCTCCTGTTCACTCTGTGCTTTTAGGCTTGCTGTACCTTTTGTCCTGGACTTTCCTTCACCATCATCCTAAGTATTCTTTTTGCTCTTTTCCTATGTGGGATTTTGTTGTTTCCTGGATCCCATGTCTCTCATTCTTTTTTTTTTCTTCTTTATTTTATTGTTTTACTTTAAGTGAAAGTTTACAATTCAAGTTAGTCCCTCATACAAAAATTTATACATACATTGTTATGTGACCCTAGTTGGTCTCCCTATACTGTGACAGCACACTCCTCCTTTCCACTCCTGATTTCCTGTGTCCATTGACCCAGCTCCTGACACTCTCTGCCTTCT